GTGTTAGGAACAGAAAACTCTTATGTTAGATGGGTCGGTACTGACCCTAACACCATAGGAAGGTCAAAGGGATAGGCTCAAGCAATGAAGCCAGTCTGAGCCAAAGAACCTATCCGGAAATATGCAATTAAGATTTCTTATGCCGTTGTGGAAAGTGGAACTTGATACACCAGCTCAAAAATACTAGCAAGCACATCAACCCCTAGCTAACATCCTCCCTGTGACATAGTGAAACTTTGTGCTGGCAAGAACTGATGACACCCACATTCCCACTGTGCACTAGCGATGACGACCAAATCTGGTGTCCTTTCATCTGCTCTCCACGCCCAGTGTGCCCATTCTCCATGCTGCAGAATGTAGGCGTTGGCTGGTCATTGGTCAATCTTGGCAAGTCAATGTTCACAACCGTGCTGTTTACAGCAGGAAGGGAACGTGGTACAGCTGACCTGAGCTAGAGGTCACCAAGCTACACCCAAAAGGAATCCCATTGGTCATCGGTGGCTGGGCCAGAGCAGAGCACTCTTAAGGAGGACTCTACGTTGTGGGTGGTTTTGGGTCATATAAAAAACTGGCAACATCAATGGTTTTATTTGGTACTGAACCAAAGAACATCTCAGCAATGCCAGATCCACCTACCATTCAGCGCCATTAGCCCACTGCATGCCAGATGCCTTCTATTCAATCAGAACTACTTAATATTTAAGGACGTTACTTCACCCGATACCATACAAGCTGATTTTACTACCAGCATGACAGCCATCTTCCCAAAACCGCAAAATAAAATCGGCTGGGTGTGGCAATAGGGCTAGAACCATGACAGAATGACAAAAAGCACAAGACACCAATGCTAACAGATGGGTCATCGCTGCCACAGTGACAAGCCTTTAGTGAGAGTTTCAAAGAGCAGCTACTGCACAGCGCTTTCCTGGAGGTGTAGGTCGTCCCTCACACTTCAGTGAGCGTTCCCTATGGGAAGGAACTTCAGCCTCTCCCTGCTGGCAAAAAGGCTCGGAAGAGCATTCCTACCACAGACCGCACTCTGGAGTTCAAGAAAAACAGTATTGCTAAGGAAAGAGAGACTCACAACAGATCAGAGCTGAGAAGAATCCAGACAAGTTCCAAGGAAGATGAAGAACTAAGAAAACATGGTTTTAATGCTTACATTGTCAGGAAAAAAGTGCCAATTTGTACCCTTGCTTGTCACTGGGGCTGTACCCTCAAGGGTAAACGTATCTTTTAAGGTACAGAAATTGACTATGAGAAACATTTTTGTACCACTCATGGTACATTGATGCTGTTGGGGATGTTCCTCAGAGTCAGTTTCTGTACCTTAAAATTACAATAAAAAGGTACAAATGACAGACCCTTGTAGGTACAGCCCCAGTCACAAGCAAAGGTACAAATTGGTACTCTTTTGCTGACAGTGTACCAACGTCACATTGATGCCTATCAGCTGGGTTTAAAATTTAACACTAATTGATGGCCTCCCCACCCTGACCACAGGTCCAACTTCACAGAACCATCCCAGCACCGCGACTCATGTGGCATGACAAAATGGCACCTACCAATCGCCTTGCGGTTCTGTTTTCAGCTGACAGTAAGAACCCCGGTCCGCTCCACATCAGAAACGGGCATCGTGCAAAATTTACCATCCACAAAGATTTATCATGCGCCAGCCGACCTCTGCCGCTGGGGTGGATGCCACATCCGGCCGTGAAGCGAGGCGCTTCCTGCCATCGGGACTACGCCACCCCTCGCCTGTTACTGCCAGTGTCTAGACCACAGACGATCCAACATCTACTTCTATTAGCCCAGATCTCTTTTTTCTGTTGTTGCAAAGCACTACGAAGAACACATGTCCCAACCAGGAGGATGGCATGATGAGCAAGGACAAGGCACCACAGAAATTTCACTTTCAGCCAAGTGCAGCATGTCGATTCAACTTTCAGAATGACCACATAGTGTAAAGGGTAAGAAGATATGAACCTCTGATGTTGCACCTGTCAATCCTAGAGGTACAGAACCAACTGCACACGTGCCGCTGATTTTGTGTCTCTCGATAAGATTTCCTCTCGTGAATAATAATAATAAAAGACTTTGGGGCAGGATACTAAACTACAGAATGCATCCGGAAATATACGAATAAAATTCCACTCATCTTATTTCTAAACATGAATGGTCATAAAGGGGCTCCCTCTCCAACATATTGATGGTTATGCTCGTGTTTTTGAGCAGAACGGAAGCCGTCAAAAACACTTCTGCAAAAGTTCTGCTTCCCCGCGACAAGCCAGACTCCTCCGCCCCTTGCCGGCGAGACAGGAGCGACGCGGATCCCCCGCGAGTCTGGCTCGCGTTCTGCGAGGGGGCGTCAAAGGGCGTCCGGCAGGACACTAAACATACGAAAAAATTTTACGCTTTGAAATCATACAGTTCGTCAGCAGTCTTCTGCGCCCCTCTTACGTCACTGTGCGTTGGGATCGAGCCCCCGAGCAGTCGATGCTGAAAGGGATGAATAGATTGACCCGTAAATAATAGGTCTAATGATAACCAAAATCTGTCTCGTCTTATTAAAAGGTAGTAATACCTGTAACTTTCCCCTGCCAACATTTTGGGAGCCCACACGCTCCCTTAAGTATAAGTGGAAGCCAGCTACAGTTTACTCTGCATTTTATAGAAACAACTCTCTAAAGACCGATTTTAAATCCACCATCGTCATTGCTTCAAGACGGTACTTACCGCACTTTATCCAAGATCAACATTGCATGTAACATCTTAAACAGACAACCACACACAACGCTGATATTTTCCCCCTAAAGTTTCATAAAAACTATATTTTTAACATTTGGTAAATATTCCACAGTAGGTTCGTACACGAAATAAGTGAGATGAGAACATTTTAACCCCTTATTATTAATTAGCTAGGTGGATACGGTATTGCGAATGTCTATGCACACGTGTAACGCACGCGTATTATATCCATTTTAATTACATGGCGATGAATCACATTCTCTCAAAGTCAATACAAAAATTATGACGGTACGCGTGCAAATGAGGGCCTATAATAAACGGAAGCAACGAAACACTTTAAGAAATATGCGGATGAATTAGCCTGCAGCCCGATTATTGACAATCAAAAAATGTTTTCATAAAAATGTAAATGTTCTAGTAAGAGAAAAGCGTGCGTTTATTTACCCGTCAGCAACAGCTCAGGGCGAATGCTGAAACCTTTCCACGAATGACGTGCGATTTCCTATCTGATGTCTGATCATTTTTTAGCACACTTCGCAAGTTTCACATCTACGTGTCACGGTACTTTAAGGACGCGCACGCAGATCTCCCCTCATTTTGCCGCATATAAAGTCACACTTTAGTAAACGTGACCCAAAAAGAAAAACGGAGTGTTTAAACGCCGACCTGAGGCAATTCTCCGGAAATTACAGAAAACCGCACACAGCAATTCATTCTGCATGTGAGCAACTCTTTCTACTTGAGTCCAGGACAAAGTCCCATCCAGCGTCAAAGAATCTCCGGGCATATTGATTGCTTTGTTATACTGCGTGTAAAACATTTTCTTAACTTATATTTAACTAAGGTAATCCGGCAGATCAATGACATTGGCTGTGAGGTGCAGCGACTACAGCCCATGCTGTCTACAAAATAATCCAAAACCTCAAAAAGCATTAAAACGGTCCCGCTTATCATTGTGGTATTTTGTGGCATTGTTCATGTCAGATACCTTTAAGATTAGATAATGCGTGGCGACAGGCTGTTTAAGCAAATGTTTAAATCAACCTGCGGCCCGAAAACGGACTTAACCTAAATTTGACATCAATGGCTGGAGTACTAACTTCATACAGCTATAGACTTTGCGCCTCCGGACACTTGTAGATTCAGGCGCCTGACAGCAACAAAAACTTCAATACTTCTCTAAATTAGGAAGTACGCTCGATATTTTAGGTCGGGTCAAGTTAGTCGTGAATTAAAAATATAAGAGGATTATTAAATATGAACGTAAAACTTACCGGATTCAGCACAAGATGCGGCGATGCAGGAGCTGCAGGTAATTTGCAACTCTAACGCAAAACAGCTGTTAAATTGGACACCTGTGAGCCTCCGCTGCCTTGATCGCTACCGAAAGTCAAACGCTCCCCTAAGGACGGTCCCCCAATTAAAAATGTGCGCAGCGTCAGCTTCGCGTCCGGTGTCGCGCAGAATGTAACAGAGGCGGGGATGCCGGCTGGCAGGATAGCTGTGCGATCTGCGCCGTGCGCGGCCGCTGTTATATACCGTACATGTGACCGCCCCAGCTCAGTTTACTGCCGGCATAGACTATTCCCGGGCATCTTTCTGAAGGATTTTAATGACAAGCTTGAAAGGCATTATGAATAGACTCCAATCTGCTCTCAAAATCTCCAAAATGACATCCAGCAACCTGTGTTTTCATCAAAATAATCTCTCCGTTTCGCCAATAAGGGTTCACAAAACTTGTTCAAGTGCGCCATCTGCAGGTGGGAACAACAGTGCTGCGAATTACACATCATGAATACTAGCACTAGTTCTTATTAGCCGAACAAAATGGTTTAACTGCTAGCTCTGCTGGTCTTCTTCGTATAGATAACGGGAATACGGCGCAAGATTTATAATGTGATTTAATTTATAATGTGACAAATGTTGTCGTAATTACTTGCGTTTGAACACAACTGTCAAATGAAAGTCTACGCGTAATAGCTTGTTGTCAGAGTGTGAGCCGAAAGCAAGTGCACAAACCAAAAATGTTTTTTTTTCAATAGCTGAAAACATTTATTATCAACCACATCTGTGAGTACTTTAGAAAAAAATACATTCTATAAGTAATAAAATACATTATCTGTATGCATGTAATTTAGTAAAAATTACAATAGCAGTGTTTGGTACTGCTGTAAGTATGGTGTGCCTGCAGTGTTTATCAACAAAATCTAATAATAATAATATAGTAATATAATAATGTCCAGATAGTAATGTCCACTTGTTATTCTGGCATTTCTGGGGATGATATTTTATTTCTTAACATCTGTGCCATTCCATTCTGTTCCTCTTTTTCAAGGTAATCGTAAAGAAACGGAATACAAGGAAACATCAGTCTTTTCCATGACTAAACGCTAGTATTACGGGAGAATAAGGAGTCATTTCACATTCATATGAATTATATCACCCGTATTGCTGCAACATGTTATGAAAGCCAAGGTTTGCTGCTTTTCATATTTTCGCTTGATCCTTTGCTCGGTGACCCTTTCGTTAATAGATTGCAGGCCCCTACGTAAACCAGTACTTTTAGATTACACACGTGCCAAACCAAGCGGATTAGTTTATTTTTAATATATAGTGAAGAAAACGATGCATGTGAGGACGGAGAGGACCAGCTTGAGTTCAATCAATTGTGCTCCGTGAGGCAAACAATCCGGTCGCTCCTTTTTTTCTTCCTGTTCTTACGGGGGTGTGCGTCGTAACCTTAAATGAACAGTATAATCCGTATGCACCAAACGTGATGCCAGAGCATTGAGAAATACGCTCCAGAATTTTGGATATATACACTAAAAAGCGCAGCCCGTCAGCTACCCAATCGCAAGCTAGAATACGGCAGAGATTCCACTAAATTGATACAATTGATATTTCTCCACTCTGTCAAACTGGAATACCCGGGGTCATTTCTGTCCTACTTGCTTATCTACATTCTTGACCAGACTTCTGCTCAGTTTTCCCATTGTACGTCATTAAGAGAACGGACACTCCCACCACCAGCCTGGCGAGGTGGGGTTCCCTAGACATTCAAAACTACCAACATTCACAGTCCAAGACGTCACTTTGCCCAATTCAGTCAGCATCACCTTATCTTACAGAGCGGGGATATTGGTTTAGTGAGCTTTAGCGTGTCTGGCAAAGCGGGTTGTGAAAAGTAATAGATAAAGAGACGTGTTGAAACACGATCCTGTGTAATTTGTTCAACAGCCCCAAGGCTATATATATAAAATGCAATTATACATAACACGTAAAATGTAACGAAATCCAATACGGTTGTAGTAGCCATTTTCTTCTCATTGTACTTTTTTCTTCAGCTCAGCCTGGAGGTTGTTAGAGATCTGAAATTGAAGAGGACAGGAAAAGCTTACGCAAAGTGCAGGAACTTTCCCATCCTGTGGAGCAGACAGCTTTCCCAAACAGAAGACCCTGAGTACAAGGTTTGTGGAAATGTAAGCACACCCACTGGTGTTTTGTGTTGTGGAGGCATTGGATGTCAGTGGGGTGGAGTGGGGAGTGGGGGGTGGGGGGACGACGACAAACAAACAGGTTGAGGACGTGCTGCAGGGACGAAAGTTGATGGACGGAAAGTGAGTTTTATAGGTGAAAGCCTTCAGTTCATCAGAAATCCAGAAGGATGCTTTTGTGACAGATCGCCACAATACGTGTGGGCGGGGTTAGCTATAGCCCCGGTGCAGGCTGGGTCCCGGTGCAGGCTGGGTCCCGGTGCAGGCTGGGTCCCTAAACCATGGCCTTTTATCCAAGTGACCAAGAGCTTGAGGGAGAGCTCTGTATGCAAGGGGGCGAACAGGCCCTCGCACCCCTGGCCATCCGGGGCCAGGGCTGGTTTTAGGGCAGCCGGTGATGTGAGCATGCAGGGCAGCCGGCTGGGTGTGAGAGTGAGTTGCGGCATAGTCGCTGGGGCTCTTCTGAGTGCTACTCCAAGCTAATCCGCCATATTAACCAAACAGCGCAGCTCGGACCGGTGCAGCATGACAGGGTGGGCGAAGACGCTTAGACTGGAGCCACATAGTTGCCAGGAAACGTCCCAAATGCTTGAGTTCTTTCGGACGTACCTGCAGAGGGAAGAACAGATGAAGATTGCTGAGGAGGGCCACAGTTACTCCATGTCCCAGTTCGGAGACAGCGCAAGAAAAAGAAAAAATCCCAAAATTTCCAGCAGAGGGCAGCAAAGATAATCAAAGCAGGTGCCTGTGCAGGTCCATTACCTACAAACCAGCCGTCGTCACACTTCTCCATCACATGCACAATATCTCCTTCCCGCAGTTCCAGCTCGTCGCCGTTCTGCGGCTTATAGTTGTAAATGGCTTTATACCTGAGCACAGAGCGGAGGAGTGAAGGTGACACGTGGCTCTCGGACAACAGGCCCGGTTTACCAAGGCTGTAACCTCTAAGTAACGTCTAGGGCCCAGACTACAACAGGGTCTGTGTTGGTGGTCATGAGGTGGTCATTTGCTACACATTTCCTGCTAGAAATAGCGAGAAACAGCCTTGGACTCACGGCTGTCGTTGGACCAGTATGGAGCTGTTACTGGTTGGGGCCTGTGAATTGGGAGAGGCCTTGGTGTGGTGGCTGGGCTGGGTGGGGCTTATGGTAATTCCATCCTTATAAAAAAAAGGAGGGGAGGACCCCAAACAGTTTACAGAAATACACATTTTAAATTATATGCTTGTATTTGTAGAGTGTACTTAGTGATTGTAATCAATGTATTTAGATGATGAATTTTTTTGCTTATGTAAATTATACAAATGCTTAGATTGGTCTTGCATGCAGCTGGTGTCCTGTTCTATTGTCACTTTTGACATATTCATGAAAAAGGAGTATTTGTGAATGAAAATGATCAACAAAACATACCTGAGTGCAATAGAGAGACGTCTGTGGACCTGTAGGGGGTGACAGTTGCATCCGATTGGATGATGCAGTGGCTGGGCCAGTGCAGTGTGCTGCGCTCCAGTGGTTGGTCTGCAGGGCGTCTGATTCAGGCCAGTGGTTAAAGGCATGTTTCGGGGGGGTGGATTGACTGGGAAACTGGGACTGCCGTGACTGGAAGGCGTTGGGCAGAGAGGAAGCGTGGGGGGACGGCGACTGGACGGCTTGGAGAGGAGACAGGCTCAGGTCTGGGCTCAGGGGGCCGGGATAAATGGGCGAGTGCAGGGGACGGCCAGGGCTCAGGGGCGCGCTGGGGCTGGCTGGGTAGTCGTCGCCGGATTTGGTGCGGGGCATCTTGGTGACCTGGACATAGCTGATGGGGAAGATGCCGCTGCGTGACGTGCCGGTGATTCTGCCCTCCAGCCAGCTGTCATCCACACGCCGCGTCACGCAGATCTGCTCACCCTGGGGGGGGACCGCAGCATTTGGTATCTAGGCACATTTACTCACATATCCTCTGCCGTAGCTGACGGTGACTGACCCCTTGCTGCTATTGCTTACTGTTTGACCAACAACCAACAGCCAAGCACAATTCCCAGGCTTGGGACAAAATTACTTCAACCAGTTCCCTTTGAGGCTGCCTCCTGGGGTTCTCCCACGCCCACAACTGGGACAACTTCCTCAGTTGTACCGCCGAGATGGCGGGCCTGCACACACACACACACACACACACACACACACACACACACACACACACACACACACACACACACACACACACACACACACACACACACACACACACACACACACACACACACACACACACACACACACACAAAGAGTCCACATATTCACATATTCATATCTTTATGGGGACTCTCCATTCATTTAACCCCTACCCAGCCCTAACCTTAACCTTGTAACCAAACAAAGCACAAGACTTTTGACATTTTTAGTTTTTTGACTGCAGTCACAGATTTTTTTTTATAAAATTAAGGCTATCCTTGTGAGGACCTTAAAAAATGTCCCCACAAGGTAAAACTCAAAATCAAATTGTGGGGAAATCCAGTCAAAACACAGGCACACACACGGGGCCATGCAGACCTTGCGGAAGGACAGCTCTACAGGAAGGTCAGCAGCGAAGTTGAAGAGAGCGACAGCCTCTCCGTACTCCAGGATCTGGATAGTGGGCGATTTGATGGGCGTCGGCTTTTCCGTCGGGGGGATGATCTAGCAGAAATAGAGGAGCATGATAATGCTCAGAGACGGTCACCTAGTGAACTCCATCCCATAATACAGGGAAAAGAAATAACCTCCACGTAGGTGGTTGGAAAGATCCCGGCTCTCCCATGATGCTCTCCTTCGAACCAGTTGGCATCAACCTGCCGATGGATGTAGACCACGTCTCCTTTCTGTAGTGTCAGCTCTCTGCACACACAGGGCAAAGCACAGCATCGCGCCAATGAATGAAGCTGGAAAGAATTGTCTGGAAAGTACAACTAATCAATCTTGAGGGATTAGTAGGCATTGTACTCACTTTGGCGACTGTGCAAGAAAATTGAACTTAGCTCTTGCTGCTTTCATCTGCACGGCATAAACACAAGGAGAATTTATCAGTCACCCAGCGGGGGGGGGGGGGGATCATCTACATAGGTTACAGATCTTTTTTATGCTTACAAATGTACTAGAATTCGCATGAAAAGGACAAATGATGCATTGCTTAGAAGTACGCATTTTCTTTGGTGTTACAGCAGCTCTCGGAAGACTAATTCATCTTTTATTCAGGACAAATCATCAGCCGGCAGTTCCTCTCCACCTTCCTACCTTCCTCTCCTCCCTCTTGGGCAGGAACTCCATGGCTTCAGCTGAGGCAGCAGGGCTACCTGTAAGGTGAGAGAGTGAGAGAGAGAGAGAGAGAGAGAGTGAGAGAGAGAGTGAACTACACACCTCATACAGGAGTGAGTCATCGGGTAGCATGAGAGCCGCTCTGTGTCATCCCGGCGTTCCCGGTCGTCAACACCAACCCGAAATGTGCCATAAACATCCCAGATTCCTTCTGGTATAAGTCAAGCGCTGGAACACGCTGTGGGAAAGCTACAGCCTGGGAGGGAGCGCGCTGTCACTTTAAGAAAAGCGTTCCACGTCTTTCTGAGGAATGTATCTCCCATCCTCCGGCCCAGTATAAACTTGGAACAAAACAGACAAACCTCCTGACCAGTTTCAGTGGACTAATGCGCAAGTAAGAGAATTAGATAAAATCAGACAACATTGCTCTGTAAATCACAGTCTTCAGCTCTCAGTGTCTAAGCTCCTTAACCCCTTTAAAAAAATCTCCCCTTAGCCTCTAAGGGCAAACTGACAATTCCTTCATGATTGGCTATTTATGAGTCAGAACAGAGCAATTCGGGAAGCAAACAGTGACTTCCTGGTTTCCAAATACACATTTCTGTAATACTTATCCGTATTTTAATCCAGACTTAGTTATCTCCAGCATTAGATCTGGCTATTTTTAAGACACAGAGAGCCGACTGCGAGGGTGTGGTTTTTTTCACAGTTCAGGTCTCATGGAGCTTTGCAGAGGAGTCAGCATGGAGGAAGGGTCTCTCTCTCCCTCTCTCTCTCTCTCTCCCTCTCTCTCTCTCTCTCCCTCT